ACTGAAGCTCAAATACTTTGGCCACCCAATGAGAAGGGAGCCCTCACTGGAGAAGACCCTGATGCTGGGAAAGATTGAAGGTCAAAGAAGATAGGAACGGCAAAGGATGAGATGGTTGGACAGTGTCATAGATGCAACGAACATGACGTTGAGCCAACTTCAAAGGACAGCGGAAGACAGGAAGGCCTGGCGTGATCTGGTCCATGGGGTCGCAAAGAGTCGGACTCGACTGTGCGACTGAACAACAACAACAAAAAATGTTCTTATAAAGGTTCTTAACAAATAAGGAGTATCCAGCCAGGTGCTTGTGGCCGGGGGAGTGAGGTAGACTGAAAATAGAGAACGTAAGAACATATGAAGGGCAATGCTCCCTCTAAGCTGTGGAGTCTTATGAGCAAGAATTCTACTTTGTGAGCTTCTGGCATTCAAGTTGTGAGTGAGTGCTTTGGCTACTGCATAAATTAGTTTGCTCTGGAGCCATCCCTTCTGAGCTAAGACAAAAATATGTGATCTGGAGGCTAAAAAACCTGTGAGCTAGCTCACACTAACTCAGCTTAGAGGGAACACTGTTGAAGAGCCCTGCTGGATCAGACCAGAAGTCCAATAGTCCATCCAGTCTAATATCCTGTCTCACACTGTGGCCAACCAGTTCCTCTGGATACCCAACGACCGGGCATAGAGGCCGCTGCCTTCCTCTGATGTCCATACTGGTTCTGTGAGAATAGTGGGTACAGTGAGGGGACAGTTGCCCCGAGCAGTTGTCTGTGTTGCAGAAAATGGACATAGTGTCAGTTTAACTGTGGATAAAAAGACAGGGCAGGGGAAGGGTCCTACCCAATCATTCATGTGTTGCGTGATTCCCATTGTTAGCACATGGGACTCGGCAAACAAACAGGCCGAGTTCCCTGTCCTGTACATGATTAAGAACTCAGCCTGCGGTATCTCCAGCATATAAATATGTTCTAGTCCCACGAAGGTGGAATTTATCGGCAAGCCCAGGCACTGCCGTATTCCTCCACCCTCGCAATGATTTACGGTAAAGGAGAGCTGGCTCTCGAGGGGAAGCTGGCGTTTGACCTTTGTGTGTTCCTGTTCCGTCTAGCCAGAAGGTGCTGCGGCAGTTTTGCGCTTACCAAGCTGGAGACTGGGCGGCTGGGGTTAAAAATTAACCGCTTCTTGTGCACCTTTTTACAGAATGGAAATGTTTTGAGGCACAGACCTATTTAAGAGTTAATTTACCCCAAGTTCTGTTCATGGCAGAGATGGACAAAATTACAAAGAAGTTGAATAACAAAGAAGACGACATGTTTTTTCAAGAATGGAGTGACTTTAAAATATATCTGGAAAAGAACTGGGATGTGAAACAAAACTTAATATGTTTAGATCAATATTAAGTCAAATGATGTTATCTTTAGATTGTAATGATAAGAAACTGATATTGTTGATGATATGAAGTAATTTGGAGCAGGGGTGGAAGCATTGCGGGAAGCCATTGGAGGGAGGGGAGGAACTGGGAATGGGGTAGACAATTGATAGAATGAAATGATTTAATCTTACATGTTGTATTCCTGAGAAAATAAAATTTGTTTACCAAAAAAAAACAAAAAAAACCAACAGCCTTTGAGATAAGTGAGATTTAAAAAAGCTGTTTTAGTTTAAGTGGCTGACTGTAAACAAAGAAGGGTCTGCCATCCAAGGCCTGCAAAAAGGGAAATGTCACTCTCTAAATAGGGTTGCCAACCTCCCAGGGGGGACCTGGAATTCTCTTGGAATTACAGCAGATTTCCAAACCGTAAAGATCAGTTTCCTTGGAGAAAAGGTGGCTTTGGAGGGAGGACTGTATGGAACTGTATCCCTTCATATATCCCCAAACTCTACCCTCCTTGACACTGGCCCCAATTCCCGGGAATTTCACAAGCCAGAGTTGGCAGTACTATCCTGGACAGAGTGTAGATCATTGAGGATGTGTTGGACAACCAGTGCTGTTCTTTTCTTACCTATTTTGGGGCTGCCTTGAAGTAGGTCATTTCTGGCTTTCTCTGGTTTCTTCACTTGAATGTGTACGCTGTATTATTTCCTTCAACAAAAGGACTTCAAAGCAAGACTCCAATATGGAATGCTAAATCTGGACTCATTAAGAGACTTAATGAAGGCTGATTCTTCAGTAGTTAACCTGCCCTCAGGTTGCTTCCAGCTGGAGCCTGGAGTTCTCCTGGAGTTACAATTGATCTCCAGACTGTAGGGATCGCTTTCCCTGGAGGAAAGGGGAGAGCAGCTGGCTAACGTGGGTGAGATTCTACAGAGTCAGTTCACACTCAAAGATCCTGAATAAAATGAATTTTCAATAACGACATAGATAACTGAGAACAAACAGTAGACAGCGTTACTGGCAGAATCCTAAGAAAGGAATCAAAAGGTACATTGCTAGCTCATCCTATACTTGTATAAGAAGACCCACAACATTCCTGTCTATGGAATGGGTTCAAGGCAGCTTCTTTGGCACAGCCTGACAGGGTCAGTCTATGATCAGAGTCTTGAAACAGAACACCAAACCAGGGTACAAGTTATATAGATTTTCCTGCAGGCTTTCCAGCCCAATCAGAATTCAGGAGTTCAGGCAAGTTTTCCCTCCAAGCCTGCTTTTGACCAATCAGGTCAAAAGTTTGGATAAGATGCCAAGCAGGGAAAATAAAACTGATGCATCATGACTCCTTTGCCAGCTTGACCCAATGGTGGGATGAGCCCAGAACCCATAGGTAACCATACACCTGTCTTCCCCCTTCCTGGGATGCAACATTAGGACTTTTGTTGCCGATCTCCACAAATGTTTCCTGCTATTATTCTACTGACATTTTTAGGAGCATCTTCCCACACCTCTGCAGATGTCAATGTGTTACTCTAAAAACACATTCCCTCTTCTCGAAACACCAGCTACATAAAATGACAGCCTAGTGAGAACCCCACTCATTGTATCTGCAGAAATGGGGTCTAATTCACTAACGCTTATGCTGGAATACATTTGTGTTATATTTGTGATAGTTTGTTTTTGCTGCCCCAGGCTAACACAGTTGCCCCTGTGGATCATATTCAGTGGTTTCCCAGTTGCCCCTCCAATGGTTATTTCTTTTCCTCATTTCTTAGGTTAGTCCAAGACAATTACGACATACCTGACAATACAGGGAAGTGGGATATAACCATTTTAAATAAATGAACATATTACTTTGGCCACCAAATGAGAAGGGAGACTCACTGGAGAAGACCCTGATGCTGGGAAAGATTGAAGGTCAAAGAAGACGGGGACGGCAAAGGATGAGATGGTTAGACAGTGTCATAGATGCAACGATCATGAAATTGAGCAAACTTCAGAGGACGGCGGAAGACAGGAGGGCCTGGCGGGATCTGGTCCATGGGGTCGCGAAGAGTCGGACTCGACTGTGCAACTGAAGAACAAAATTATTCCAGATAAAAATGTGTTCAGGCATCAATATTGTCAGGCATGTTGTGTTGACATATGACACAAGGAATATTTCCTTTTAGAAACCATTGGTCATGGGCCAGTGACTGGGGCACCTTTCTCCATCCTGATTTGTTAGTGGAGGATATAGTTCTTTTTGCACTCTGGAACCACAGCATAGTTAACAGACATGTATTATCTTCTTTTTGCAGAGATTTATTGCTGTGGGCTGCTGAGTGCGAGGAAAAGCGACTGCACTGGTTTGCCTCCATCTATGCTAAACAACCCAGATGTGCCTCAGTCTCGAGGGCAGTACAGGATCAAGATGAAAGGAAACATGTCCCTGATCTGCTGGTACAATAAAGGGTATTTTCGGTTTTTGGCCAATGCTTATTCCCCAGTACAACAAGGTGAGCAGTCTGTATGAACTATGACAAAGCTACAGGCGATTTTTCTCATGGATTTTTAAGGGGAGAGTTAAACACTTGATTAAATTCCTCCCTTTGAAATCAGTGGAGCTTAAAAGTGCTTTGGCCTGTGCATGCATGTGTCCTATTTGTAAGCTTAGATGGAACCTACTTGATGCAGATATCAGCATTCAAGCACATTCATCAACCAGTTTTGCATTAGAAAGTAATACCTGTCTAGAATCTCTGTGCAGTTATCATAAGATCTGTGTTACAAGTATTTAGCTACAGTTTTAGCACCGTCAGTGGACAAGATGGCATGCAACCAAATCCTAAACTTGTTTACTTGGAAGTAAGTCCCACTATCTTTAGTGCTGCTTATTCCCAAAACAAGCGTGCATAGGATTGCAGCCATAATGTCAAAGACAAGTTTCTGACCTGAGAAGTTTATAATCTGGATTTATGAGCATAGCATCTGTCCAACCATTTTCAATGAAGAAGGGCCGTCAGGGCAGCTTTTTCCACCGCCAAATTGTTCCTATAATTAATCTCCTTTGGTGATCAGAACTTGCCTCTGCATTACTAAGTAGGGGAAGCTTTGCAAACATTTGGTGATGTCTTTCATTCTAGGTCACCAGTGGCAAGTAAGTGTGGGTAAGTGGGTTAGTAAAAAGATGTGCAAGCTCGTAATCGTTGTGGATCTGTTTTAGCAGAGTTGTGAAATGCACACCATTGTTCGTATGATAAAACGAACACTATTTGCTGCATGACCTCTTCTTTCTGAGGTTTCTTTGAATGTTTGAAAACTATCCCCTGGCTTCCCATTCCTATTCACGGCTCCAAATAGAATTATCCTGGTGAGGAAAACAAATATAATTACACCAGTGGTTCAATTTATGGCCAAGGGATTGATGTGTGGAAGCACAGTGTGTCAGATTGGTGTTGTGGTTAGAGTGTCAGACTAAGATCCAGGAGACCTGGGTTCAAATCCCAACTCAGCCATGAAACTCACTGAGTGATGCAACCAGTCACACTCTCTCTCAACCTCAGCCTACCTCACAGGATTGTTGTTAGGACACAAGGGGAAGAGGAAAACTGTTTGTGATGCCCTGAGCTCCTTGGATGAAGGGCTGGATAAATATGCATTAGCTGTGCTGTGAGTTTACAAAATATAGCTATGATCACTGTGACTAAGCCCAAATGGTGCTTTTCTTTTTCATTGAAACAGGAGTGATAATTAAGCGGAAAAGCGGAGAGATCCCCTGCCCACTGGCAGTAGAGGCATTTGCTGCTCATCTTAGTTATATCTGCAAATATGATGACAAATACAGCAAGTAAGTGAGCAGGAGGCTGGGGAGGGGATGACCCGTAGACCATTTGTAATCGTGGGCATTTGGAAGAAACCGAGCACCTGGTTTTAGTTTCATTGACAGCAGAGAGCAGCACAGCTGAAATGCCTTGTCCTATAAGAAAAGGGCAGCAAAAAAGCTTCTGATGCACAATAGCAATATGTGGATTTATTTCAGCTTCATGGGCAAGTTATATCCTAAAATGCTGCAATAGGTCAGTCTGTCCTGTCTGTACCACCTCATTCTTGGGAGGATGAGTGTTTGCATGTCACAATGTTTCTTCGTGTGAAGAGCCATCATGTCATCACCAGAGCTTTAAAACTCCCATTTCCATGGGGATAGAACTGACTAAACACCATTCAGCAACATGGTCTACTAGCAAAGACTGTATCTTTATAGCTGCCACCTCCAGAGTCTCAGGATGTCCTGGTCACCTGAAAACAAACAATGTGAAAATTCAGCCTATGAACAATTTCAGAATCTCACATGATTTGCCTGTCCGCTAATCCCATGCGCATGCTGTTCTTGATCTGGAGTGGGAGCAGCACACTTGGGAACAGGGGAGAACGTGCAGATTACATATGACACATCAGGTTGGGTCTGTGGACTCCACTCTGTGAATTCCGTCTCATCAAAAAACCAGGGATCTTTTTGTAGAAAAAGCCCAGCAGGAACTCATTAGCATAATAGGCCACACCCAACACCAGGGACTCATTAGCATATTGGGCTACACCCCTGACAGCACAGCTCATTAGCACATTAGGCCGCACCCCCATGTTACCAAAAGTGTGGTCATCCAGCCACACCCACCTTTTACTTCTTATTCTCTTTACCTTATTTGTTGTCAAAACCCAGGGCCTTTTTTTGTAGCAGGAACTCCTTTGCATGTTAGGCCACACACCCCTAATGTAGCCAATCCTAATGAGTTCCTGCTGTTGGGTGTGACCTATTATGCTAATGAGTTCCTGCTGGGCGTGGCCAACTTGGGAGCCAGACGGAACTCCATTCCTGTGCGTTCCTGCCCAAAAATAGCCCTGAAAAACTAACTCTTGTGTGTCAAAGGCAGAGCCGGTGAAAAGCCAGTTAGACAAGGCATCAATGATTTCATGTCCCCGTGCTGGGCAAACACCCCACTGTCTGACCAAAAAAAAAAAAAAAAGATTGACATTTCAATTGGACATTCCTTATAGTCTGCCTAAATTCATAAACATGTTGCTTGGATATGATGACGGGATCGATCCAAGAAAATGCTACATGCATGTTCTTGAGAGAACTGGCTACTTGCAAGGTTTGCTGGCTCCCAGAATTAAATGTATGTGTACATATGTGCTGTCAAGTCACAACTGACCTATAGTGACCCCAGCAAGGGTCTTTCAAAGCAAGAGAGAAGCGGAGGTGATTTGCCATTGCCTTCCTCTGCAGAGTCTCCCATGGTGGTCTGGTCTTCATTCCAATTTACCAGTCCTGCTTAGCTTCCAAGATCTGACTAGATCAGGCTATACTGTACAATTAGACATCCCTCAAATTAAATTTAGGTGGTATAAAATGACCACAGTCCTGTCAAGCAAAGTTCAGCATCAACACAGTAATGGAATAGTTTTTAGCCTTGACTTTTCTCCCTGACATGCTAGCTAGCTTGTTTATGTCAGGAAGCATTCAAACACCTGATTCCCCCACCTACATCCAGACCATACAATCTGACAGCTATACATTTGAACTGGCTGCTTGACCCAAGTGTTTACCTAGGATAGTACCCAACAGTCCCAGAGACTACGAGCTATGCGGCTCACCTGTCATGAGTCAGGCAATATGATGAGCTTTTATGAAGGATTTTTTTTAAGTCGTGCTTGCGCATACCTCCCTGACCATTCTTAACATCATGTTTGTGTTGATTTATTTGTGATAAGAGGGCAAACCAGCTTGTTTTGTGAAAGTGGCTCACTGAGCCCCACGCTGGAAAAGGCACGCAGACATGCAGCTGGTGACACATTCACTGAGGAACGTATGGGGAGGGAAAACAAAAGAAGACTTTTTTTAGAGTGTATACTAGGGGAAGGGTGTGGTTGTTAGTTGACCTTCTAGTTCTCTCATGGGCAAAAGGACTTGGCAAAAACAAGTTTGGGAATCCTTTCTCTTGTTGCTATTGAAATTCATTATGCAAATCTATTGTGCTCTATTTTTGCCAGCTCAGCAGGGGCCAGTCTGCCAAGATACCAGTGTGGAATATGGAACTAGGAGTCCTGAATGAGCTCTTGCATGCAAGCAGATAATGTTCTTTGCTCCAAAGAAAGCTGCAGTCTTCTTTGGGACCCTTCCTAGACTCATCAAATCAAAGCTTTCCTAAGCTTTGGTTGATTATGAGACTGGATCAGGAGTCTGAATGAAAGCCACAATTTTAGGCTTTTTAAAAACAGAAAATAGACCCTGTCATGCATATTTAAAGCCACATTTCAGGGATTGAATGTGTTTATAAAACCTTAGCATTTTAATTGGAACATTTTAGCTCCTCAGAGATATAACAACCCCCCCCCCAAATAAACTATATTAAAAGCAGAGGCTTTAAGTGGTTAACTACTTACCTCTGGCTCTTACCCAGTGCACTCAAACATGCAAACTAGCAGATGGCATTGACAGAGTCAGATCTTTTCCACCTTCCCTTCTGCACAACCAAGAGATGTTGCCAGAAGTGGGGGGGGGGGGTTTGCAGCTGCTCATTGTGCATGGGTTTTCATCTACGTGGATTCCTCCAGCTCTTGGTATCCTCTTTTCAGCACTCACAAAGGCTGCTGTGAAAAAGGCAAAGCAGGGGAAACCAGCTTCCATCAGCACTTAACACTTGAGATTCATAGACTCCAGGATTATCCCTGGAAGCACGTAACTTGTAATCTAGTCAATGGCTGTGCTGATTATGAAGAAGGAGAATGTCCACGATAGACAAAAGGAAGTACTTCTTCACTCAATGTGTAATTAAATTGTGGAATTCGCTGCCAGTAGATGCAGGAATCACCACAAGCATAGGTGGATTTTTACATCCACCCCTGGCTGCTAGCCAACATGACTTAAGGAAACCTCCATATGAAGAGGCAGGAAACCTCTGGATACTAGTGCTATAGGACTCAACAAAGCGCTTGGCCTCTGTGCCCAACTTGTTGGCCGTCTAGGGTTGGCTGGCCAGTATATGAGATAAGATGCTGGCATGGATAGATGATTAGTCTAATCCAACAGGGCTCATGATATGTTCTTATGTCCATCTTGCCGATCACGTCTAGCTTTGCCAAGCATAAGACACAGGAGCAGAACATTTTGTCATGTCTGAATTCTTGACTGTTGAAGGCAGGAATCTTTCTTGTCTTCTAAATGCAATGAATGATAACTTTTTTCCCCACTCCTCTCTTCTTATGCTTTCCAGGTATTTCATTTCTCATAAACCAAACAAGACCTGGCAACAAGTGTTCTGGTTTGCCATCAGCATTGCCATCAATAATGCTTACATCCTCTACAAAATGTCAGATGCCTATCACGTGAAAAAGTACAGCCGTGTGCAGTTTGGGGAGAGACTTGTCAAGGAGCTGCTGGGCTTGGAAGACATTTCACCTTCTCATTGATGGATCATTCCTCGTGTCTTAGGTCAGGAGTGGAGGGGAGGAGGAGACAGCTCCAGACTATCCAAATGGGAAACGCGTCAATCACACTAACCAGGTTGCTCCCCTTAAAAAGAGGGGGGGGGGAAGGCCGGGAAGCAAGTAGAACGGTGGAGGTTTTGCAGATGGCACTGCTGGTGGTCAAAGGGCCCTGAAGGGAGCACCACATCAAAGGTGCACATGTGAATGCTCCTTGGGCACTTACACATCAGAAATGATTTTACGTTAATAGCTATTTCTTAATAATATTTGTCAAACAGGGTGTTAGTTGCCACACGAGCCCCTTTCCCCCGGCCCCTCCCACACTAAAGCAGCACAGCAGCTCAAACTGGGCATTACAGACAATGGTATATGCTGTTTAACTGTGTGGTTGTCACACAGTGAAAAGACACATCCTGTTTCGTGGCCGAAAATGCTCCGCACTCCATGAGGGGTCATGAAGAGGTTGCTCGAAGAGAAATATTTTTAAAAGTGTATAAATATATTTTGCAAGCCTGTTATTAGGCAGTGGTCTTAGTGGACTGATGAAGATTTTATTTTCTTGCAATGCTGTAATAGGAAATATAATTTTGGGGTGGGGGGGGAAACATTTTTAAAAATAAATAAATATACGGCCAGCAACTGGACAAATTATACCAGACAAAGATAAAGATATTTTGCCACCTCTGAAGTCAGTGTGAGCTTTGAGGTTGACTTCAGTGGTGCCATATTAGATTCATAACAAGTATAGCTTCAAAAGAAAATATAGCACATTGTTTTCCCAACAGCATTTGCTCAGAATACAGGGTGAGAAATGTAAAAAGAGTATCTGAGAAACTTAATTATCCTCGAGGTTAGACAGGAGTTCAATTTGTTCAAAGAATTGCCTAAACATTATAGGCAATTCTTTGAACATTCTGAGTGATCACACACTCAGAAATGGTAAATGTGCACTTTTCCGTGGGATTTTTTCCCCCATACAGTTTTTCCTGTGACTTGGTTGCTGACATGTAGCCGTTTTCCTCTCATTTTTTTGTTTGTTGTCTTTTGCTGTTTCCTTGTCGTTTCTCCATGTTTTCAAAACACCCCTGATCTAATTTGAGAAAGCGCAGAGAAATTATGAAGAAGGATATCAAATGGGAAATGAGGACATGAGGAAGCCTGGAAATAAAGCCTCTGCAGGTCAGCGCCCAAACGGTGGGGAAACGGCTAAGTGAGAAGACCCCATGTCTTCAAAGGCACCCACAGCACAAGGGCAAAGAAGGGAAATCCAGATCCCTGTCCGCTGTGTTATGAATGCTATGGCATGTGAGAGAATGGCGTGATGCCATGACCCATGCCCTGAGTGGAGGAGGGGCAGCCTTCACCTCAGTCTCTCTCAGTGCTGTTGCAGATGTATATCCACACGCAATGCCTATATGTTCCTTGCATACAGTAGTAGTCGTTGCTCATAATACCTTGTTACGTATGAGCAAATTCGGATTGGAACCATAATGTAATGCACTATTTTCCTCCTTTTTTTTTAGTTTAAGGCTGATTAACATTCTTTATATTCAGTATTCACACAAACCTGGCAGGAAGGAGAAACTTCTTTTGTTTCATCATTCTGGAGATGCTCCGTATGAGTTCATAATGGAGACTTCCTACAAGAGTTGCAAACCTGAGAAAGGACACATCTTAAGAAGTGTTGCAGTGTTTTTCAGTTACCAAGCTAAAACACCCTGGGATCACAGGAGCAAACTGAATAATATAATCTGTAATGGGGCAACCACTTTGAAGTTACTGCACTAGTGGCCAATGTTTACAAAATCCCATGGGATAAGGCTTAATTGAGAATGGAAAGGAACAACCAAGTAACAAATTGAAATGAAGTATTCCTTCTTTTTCTACAAAAAAATACCAATTTAAATATATAACTCAATAAACTGAAGAATTTAAGGGCCTGCCTGTGCTATGTCCTCCATACAATCCTGTCAGCTCTCACTTGAATGCATACAGCTTCTGTCTGCTCTTTAACACATCAGGAAAGGAGGGACATTTGCCCTCTCTACTGCGGTGGCTCAAGTGGTTAAGACGCTGAACTGCAGGCTGTGGAAGGTCAGTAGTTCAGCAGTTCAAGACCCAGGTGCCACAAGACGGAGTGAGCTCCCATCTCTAGTTCCAGCTCCTGCCAACCTAGTAGTTCGAAAGCAAGAAATTGCAAGTAGATAAATAGGTACCACTTTGGTGGGAAGGGAACAGCGTTCCGTGCGCCTTGGTGTTTAGTCATGCCGGCCACATGACCACGGATGCGTCTTCGGACAGCGCTGGCTCTTCGGCTTTGAAACGGAGATGAGCACCGCAACCCTAGAGTCGGATTCGACTGGCTTTCGAGCAAGGGAACCTTTACCTTTTACTGCACATTTGGACTTGCATTAAGACAATTAAACGAGAGTGGAAAGGGCCTGCTTTGTAAAGCCCATTATGCAACTTATCTTGGCTTAAAACTAGTTGGCATTCCACTAAAGGAAACAGAAATTTGGTATAGATGAATCTTGAGTCACAGGCAAACATCAGTGTGCCTAGACAAATGAAGAATTGTCAGATAATACACTGAAGAGGTAAATGGCCAGGCAGAATCAAGGATTTGTTGTGGCATGTGTGGAACTGCTCATTCAGCCCCCTCCAATGCTCCCTCTAAGCTGTGGAGCCTTGTAAGCAAAAATTCTACTTTGTGAGCTGCTGGCATTAAAGTTGTGAGTGAGCGATTGGGCTACTGCATAAATTGGTTTGCTCTGGAGCCCTCCTTCCTGAGTGGAGACAAAAATCTGTGAGCCGGAGGCTAAAAAACTGTGAGCTAGCTCACACTAACTCAGCTTAGAGGGAACACTGGCCCCCACCCTCCCTTTTTGAAGTCAAATCAGAGCTGACTTGTGTTCCCATGGGGTTTTCAAGGCAAGAGATGTCCAAAAGTAGTTGGTCATTGTCATGACCCTGGTATTCCTTGCTGGAATCCCATGTCAATACTAACCAGGGCTGACCCTGCTTAGCTTATGATATCTGACAAGATCAGACTATCCTGGCCTCTCCTGGCCCATTACCTTTTATCGACTGCCAAGCCAGAAACACACCTTTACATTTACTCTTGAAATGCCAGTCCAGAGAGACTTAGCAATTCTAGACTTGCTGCAGAGCACCAAATAGATCCTCATATCAGGATTGGCTTGTAATATACATGTTGCCATTCAGCCATGTTCACTGCCAGTAAAGATGTCCTTGAAAGTTGTGGTCGTGTTTTTAGTTGCCCTCCTCCCATTGTCAGCAGCTGCCCAGAACGATGGGAAGACAAAAGGGTCTTTTTTTTAGTACAGCAAAAAAGAACAAACAGACCAATGGCACCTTAAAGACTATCCTCTTCACTGCAGCATAAGCTTTTGTGGACCAGAGCCCTTCCTAGCTGTCCTCTGAGTCTGTAGTGCCTCCCCGCGTCACTATGTGCCTCTCTCCATCATTTTGGTCAACCAGTTTGTGGCAATATCAACAGCTTGCAAGCAAAACATGTTCACCATCTCCAAGACACCCTGAAAACTGCCATGTCTTGCCTTGCACTCAAAACAGCTTTAAATTGCACTAAAATATGCAAACAGGCTGTGTAACCCTTCATCTCATTATTGATTTCAAGTGTGGCCCTTGCTGCTGGAGAAGCTGTTCCCACTTTAATGCCAAGCGTTATAAATAAAGGCACGGAGAAGGATTTCATTACAAACAACTTCTCCCTAGCAGCCCACAAAATGTGAATTGCTCCTCTGGGAATGCACCATAGTGGGTGCTCTGAGGAAAACAGGAGGGATTCCTGCCTTTCTCATCTTCTTTCTACCACCAAGATCCTACAAGGTAAGCTTTGTACTTTCAGGAAGTACCTTGTAGGCCTTGATGGGAGAAAGAAGACGAGGGTAGAAAGAAGACGAGAATTGCCCCGCATAATGGTGAGAAGTGGTGCCTCAGGCATGATTCATGCTATACAAAGTCCTTGTGGCTGCTCTGTTATCACAGGTACTTGGGCTTCATTCTCAAAGATCCTATTAACTCATCTAGCGAATATGTTACAAGGACTGAACAAAGCCTTCTAATTTCATTGCGGGCCATGATTCATTATCGAAATCTATGGCAACTTGGAGATCGGACTTAATAAAATAGCTCATTTCTTGTGCTAAAATTTCCATTAGGCTTAACTTTGCCTCAGGGAGTTAATACAGATGGGATAAACACAGGATAGGTGATTCCTATGAAGTCATTTTCCAGGGTAATGTTTTAGCTGGAAAAACTGCAAAATGGCAGCAAGGATTTCCAAAATAGTTTGGAAATGAACTTCAGTTCTTATCCTAGCCCCCTTCTCGTTGACATGAGTTGGTTTCCTAAATTTGACTATCAGATCAGCATTTGTGCTGTGTTGTCCAAAGATAAATTCCCAGTGGTGTGTGATACTCAAGTAGCTATTGTTGGATTGCAGTAACTCTGTGACCAATCAGCAAGAGTCTTTGTCATTATCATGTCCAGCAGTTACTCAACAAAGGAAAATAGAATGAGAGATAAGCTTATTGCATGTTGAGTGCCATTTAAAGTGAGGTTGCCCCAAAGTCTACCCACTTAAGTGATTTGTTTTCAACTTGCCCTATGCATGCCCCAAATGCATGCATGGAAGCAGGGTGGGGGGCACACGTGTAACTGATGCAGAGGCACACCTGGATGCCTACTCCTATTCAGTTGGAAGACCCATTGAAATGGCTCAATGAGGCTTTGAATGCCTTCCGGCATCTGGGCCACCAATTGTTATGCAAACCTCATTGCCCGTGAGTAGGGCTGGGACATGGCATTTGTGTGTTGCGATTCTGCCCCATCCTTTCAAAGGGCTGAGAACCGCGGGGAGGCAGTGTAATGAACAAGCTACCCTCTATGCACAGGCACATTATCCTCTAAGGATTGCCCTTCCATGTACTGTTAAGATC